AACTATTTGTGCTCCGGTTTGATATTTAGATTATTATGAGGTGAATGTTTTTTATAAGTAACAGAATTACTATTTAAAGAAAAGAATAAAATTTATCAAAGGCACTTAGAAACTGAAGGACTAGTTGAATAAGCTGGTCCAATTAGAATTGTTTACACGATATCTAAAGTTTTTGTTTCTATTTAGTTTACAATACTTTCATTTTTTATTCTTCACATGCCATTTTGAGGTTCACGTTTGATTTAAAATTAAGATTCAGTTTTTTTTAATTAAAATAAAGAATTAGAAGAAAATAGAATAAATTTTAACCAAATACAATTATAAGAATTTTGAGGTAATATGTGAAATTCCAGAAAAATTAGAAGAAAATGTAGCTGGAAGCATGGGTGCACGAAGATCTGGGAACTAGGCATAGAGGATCCTGGCTAACCACAAAAATTGGGTTTTGCTAAAAACCATTCCTTCATTCAAGTGAACTGCCTGACTCTCTCTGAACCGTTTCTTCTTCACACAGCCGACTGTTCATCTTCTTCCTCTATGCAATGCAATCGATGGGATGGAAAGGTTCATCGGGAGGGCGACTCTGGTGCATGACAACAATTGACAGTTCAAAAAAACGATTCATAATAATAGATTGTAAATCAAAATTATCGTGTAATTTTTGAAATAATATCTCATATTATTTTCATCTTCTCTTTCTATTTTCTTTCTCTTGGGTTCTCCCGATCTATCTCTCTTCTCTCTTTAAGAGCTTATTTCTCTCCCTACAATTTCTTTCTCTCTCTAAAAATTAGTCTCTCTCTCTCTAAAACGTTCTCTCTTTCATAAATTTGTGTTCTCTCTTTCTCTATCTAAAGATTCCTCTTTCTCAATCTCAAACTCTCTTGTTCTCTCTCCTCGATATCCTCTCTTCTCTCTTAATAGATATCTCTTCTTCTCAATTCATTTTTTGTCCCCAATTTTTAAAATTTTTCATAATTACCTCAAAAACCATTCAAACTTTAATATTATTCTTAAGTTAAGGTTCTGGTAATTATATGTCAAAGTCGGGTCCTAACAAACTTGGTTACCAGAGCAACTCGATGCTGACGAAACCCTTGCAAGTTTCATGACACCAGGCTAAAGCCACAATGTTCCTAACGCAAAAGATATAGATGTCGGGGGAAAATCTACGTGAAATAGATAAAAAATTCTTAAAATTTAGATTCGAAATGCATAAATCACAACAATAAATTTGAGTTATAATAAACTAACGACTGATTATTTTTTTACCAACAACTGAAAAGAATCATAGAATTCTTGCAAAGTAGTATGCAGATTGGTGAAATAATCGTTGGGATAAGTTCCTCCACTTCTATTTTAATTATTAATAGAAGAATATTATCGAACCCGAAAACTAAAAAAATTGAGGTTGATAGTTTGGATTAGATGGGTAATCAAATTGGTAACCCTATCCAAAAATTGAAGTTCTTATTTTGATGGACAAAATTTTAGAATATAAATAAGAAGATGCTACAAGTATTTTCATGTTTTGAACATCCTATAAGACAATATAGTGGAAATAGACTCAATGTATCTAAAAGACAAAGTAGAGATTTGGTTCCATGAGTTAACAAATGATCCAAATATGTTTGAATGAGAAGTATTTGATGTGGAATTGTGTAGAAAGTTTAGAGGATTATTGGAGTTGATATTGTGAAAGAATTCAACAAATTGATTAATGAAGATACTGTTAGTCATTCAGTATCAAGAAAAATGTGAAGAAATGAGGTCTCTATTATTATTTGAGAACTTAGACTTTCTCAAAAATATTTGATCTCTAGTTTTATAAGTGGTCTGAAAGATGAACTTTGACCGATAGTAACGCTGCATAGATCGCACACCTTGAAATCAAACATTTGGAGTTAGCTTTATGGTAAGAACAGTAGATGTCATCAATTGTCCAATACGCCGAAGCACTCTAC